GTAATCCCAGCACTCTGGGAGGATCACTTGAGCTCAGGAGTTTGAGATCAGCTTGAGCAGGAACAAAATCCTGTCTCTACCACAAAGAAATTTTTAAAAAGTAAATAAAAACAAAAGTCCCAACCAGGCATGGTGGCTGCAGCTGTAGTCTCAGCTACTTGGGAGGCTGGGGCAGGAGGATCCCTTGAGCCCCGGAGTTTGAGGCTGCTGTGAGCTATGATGATGCTACTGCACTCCAGCCTGGGCAACAGAGCAAGACCCTGTCTTAAAAAAAAAAAAGAAAGAAAGAAAAAAAGAAAACTTGTGTTGAGAGGATCAGTGGAGCTCGCCAAAGGACCCTATGGGACCCTCTCCTCAGGCTCCACCATTCTCTCTCTCCATGACGTGCCTCCCCCTGCTCCAGATGGCAGGGCCAGGTTCAGGCAGTCACCCTTCCAGGCTGTCTGGCCCCCACATGTCCTGCATGGGCAAGAGAAGCACAAAGACCAACCCCAAGGCCATGACCTTGACAGTACAAGTCATCCGAGTCCCTCTGGAGAGCCACGGCTCCCACCCAGGCTGCAGCGAACAGCTGCTCCTGGAAGACAGAGGCCACCTGTCAGCTTGGAGATGGAAGCCTCCCCCGCCCCAAAGCCAACCTTCCAGGAGGCAGCAGGGCCAACTACATCAGGGACTGTCTGTAAACCAACTCCCTGAGCGTCAGGCCAGGGGCTTGCAAGGCATCCTGGAAAAACCCCTTTTTTGTCCTGTCCTCCAGTTGCCGGGCAACCACCGCGCGTCTGGACCAAAGCAAGAGGAAGCTGGTGTAGGGACACATGTAGACTGAAAGCGAAGGGATGGGGAAAAGATATGCCTTGCACCTGGAAACCACAAGAAAGCAGGGGTAGCTATATTGCATCAGATAAGACAGACTTCAAGTCAGATACTGCAAACCGAGACAAAGAATGTCATTATAGAGTGACAAAGGGGTCAACTCATCAAGAGGCTGTAACAATTGTAAATACATGTGCATCCAACATAAGAGCACCTAAATATATAAAGCAAATATGAAGAGCTTCTGAAGGGAGAGCTAGTCTAGGATACGGCAATACCGAGGGACTGCAGTACCCTGCTTTCAACAATGGATAGATCATCCAGACAGAAAATCAATAGGGCCAGGCGCGGTGGCTCACGCCTGTAATCCTAGCACTTTGGGAGGCCAATTTGGGAGGATTGCTTGAGGCCAGGAGTTTGAGGCCAGCCTGAGCCAGAGTGAGACCTCTTCTTTACTAAAAAAAAAAAAAAAAAAAAAAAAAAAAAAAAAAAAAAAAAAAAAAAAAAAAGCTGGGCATAGTTGCGTGTGCCTGTAGTCCCAGGTATTCTAGAGGCTGAGGCAGTACTATTACAACTGAGTAATAGTAGTAGTGATCACTTGAGCCCAGGAGTTGGAGGCTGCAGTGAGCTACGATGACACCATGGCACTCTAGCCTGGGTGACAGAGCGAGACTCTGTCTCAATAAAAAAAAAAAAAATCAATAAGGAAACATTGGACTTGAACTACATGCTAGACAGAAAGGACCTAACAGACAAATAAAAACCAGTCCATCCACCAGCAACTAAATACACATTCCTCTCAAATGCCCATGGAACATTCTCCAGGATAGATATATATATGTTAGACCACAAAACAAGTCTGAACAAATTCAAGAAGATTGCAATAGTATCAGATATTTTTCTTGACCACAACGGTACAGAACTAGAAATCAGTAACAGTAACGGGTGGAATTTCCCCATATGTGTGAATTTCAGAAAACTGACAAGTAGGTGGAAATTTAACAACACACCCCCGAAGGACCAATGAATGGGTCAAGGAAGATATTAAAAGGGCAATTAAAGAATATGTCAAGACAAACATAAATGGACATATGATACAACTGATAGGATATAGTGAAAGCAGTTCTAAGAATGAAGTTTACAGCAATAAATGCCAACATCAAAAAAGAAGAAAGATCTCAAATAAACAAATTCTCTCTAAAAAGGGGCAGCTGGGAACAAGAGGAGTCCTGGCCTGGCAGACAGGACACCTGGGTGTGGTATGTTCCTTAGGGTGCTCTGGGGAAGGGCAGCCCAGCTGCTTCTGTCAGAGGCCAAGAGTCTGAGCAGGGACCCGGAGGCACCAGAGCTGGGTGCAGCCAAGCTCTGATATGCAAAGGTGACTGCAGGAGGACCCCACTAATGTCCCTGCAGCTTTGCTAATGACCCACCAGGCATTGGCTCTGTAGCCCTCATCTATTAGGGGACTGTCCCCCTTTTGGTCACAGTATTTAAGGAATAGAAGTCAGAGTTTCCTGGCCAAAAAAAGACTTGGCCACTCTGACCCTCTGTCTCCTTCTCTGTACAGTTAGGCCAACTGTGAGCACCCGCGAGTATCCTCCATCTGTGTGCCCTCCACTGGGGGTGGGATACTTCCAGGAGTCTCCCTTCCGCTACCAAGCCACTGGAGCCACTGCCCTCCCAACCCTGCTGCCTCTGGGGTGTCAGTTCCTGCGTTTGGCTGAGCTACAGGCTGGAGACCACCCCCAACTGCGCCCATCATCAGAGTCAGAATGGGGGGAGGCTTCCACCCCGCAGCCACGCGGATTTCACACTTGCAGAGGAGAAGGTCCCTGGTAGCAGGTTACACTCAATACCTCCACAGCTGCAGGCGCGGAGGAGGCCTGGCTTCCCCCAGTTCAGCCCTGAAGATCTGGCTCTCACTCTTAGCAGCTGTGCTCCTTGGAAATCTGGGCTGTGACTCAGAGGGTCGTCCCCCACCCCAACCCCAGTATCCTGGCTCCCACCCAGACACCTGGGTCCCGCGCGCACACATCCCTGTGCACCCTGCGTGAATCCCTCCTCCCCGAGAAGGCTGCCGGTGGGACAAACAGTGAGGGGTGGGGCAGGGAGGTGGCCTCACACGCCGGCGGACCTCTTCCAGGTCTGGCTAACGTCAACGCCCCTCCCCCACCCCGGCAAGGCAGGTAGGAGGCAGTGGGCCGTAGCGGGGAGGCTGGCCCCAGACTGCCACGCTGCGTCCCCACGCCCGCAGCCACGCGGAGCCGCGTCCCGGCCCAGCCTCACCTCCCAGAGCAAGAGGCGGAGGAACTGGAGCAGCTCCCAGGCCCGGCCTGGGGGCTGCAACGGGACAGCTGAGCACCCAAGTCCGCAAAGCCTCTTAGAGTGGGGCGGGGCTGAGCTTTGTAAGCCCCGCCCCCAATGTAAGCACCGCCCAAACAGCACCGCCCTGTTGCTGCATGTTATTTACAAAGCCCCGCCCACCGAATAAGCCCCGCCCCACGCAGCCCCGCCCCAGCTCTAAGTGTTATTTGTTAAGCCCCGCCCTCGCACATAAGCTCCACCCATCAAGCCCCGCCCTGGCTCTATGCTCCACTCAACCAGCCCTGTGGCCTGGCGGGGTGGCGGGGCGCCTCAAGAGGCTGAGAAATAAGAAATGAATGGGGTCCGAGAAATGAGAAAGGGGTCTGGAGAGGTCATATGTAGCTATGGATGTGAACAATGAAAAGTTAAAAACAGACAGCTGGTTAGCCGGGCATGGTGGCGCATACCTGTAGTCCCAGCTACTCGGGAGGGAGGCTGAGGCAGGAGGATTGCTTGAGCCCAGGAGTTTGAGGTTGCTGTGAGCCAGGCTGAGGCCACAGTACTCACTCTAGCCTGGTCAACAAGCGAGACTCTGTCTCAAAAAAATAAAAATTAAAAAATAAAAAATAAATAAAAACAGACAGCTGGGAGGCCCCTGCAGTGCCCCTGCCTTCCCTCACCCCCACCTCCTGGCTCCCCGGCGCCCCTGTCCCCCGGGGGCGGCTGACCCAGGGAAAGAAGACAGGCCTTCTGCATGAATTTTGCTTTGCTTGCTGCAGGCATGGCTACCTGGGTCTCCCGGCTTTTCTTCCGAAGCCAGGGCATTTCTTTGTTGGTGCAGTTGTTCACGTCAGTTTTATGGAGACTGTTCTGAAGGTAATATTCGAGAAAATTCACACGCCACGCGTGCACTTCACCCATGGAAAGTGCACCATGCTGTGGTGTTTACCACATTGGCAGAGTTGTGCAGCCATCGCCATTATCTAACTCCAGAACAGAAAGAAACCGTACATACCCTTTTTCTTTTAGAGGCAGGGTCTTGCTCTGTCACCCAGGCTGGAGTGCCGTGGTGTCATCGTAGATCACTGCAACCTCCAACTCCTGGGCTCAATCAGTCCTCCTGCCTCAGCCTCCCAAGTGGCTGGGACCATAGGCGCATGCGCCACCACGCCTGGCTAATGTTGAAAAAATTTTTTGTAGAGACAAGGTCTCACTATGTTGTCTAGGCTGGTCTCCAACTCCTGGCCTCAAGCGACCCTCCTGCCTCGGCCTCCCAGAGTGCTGGGATTACAGGCGCGAGCCACTGTCGCCAGCCAAGAAGCCCATACTCCTGAGCGGTCACCCACCTCATTCCCTCATTCTCCCTTCCCCCCATCCTGTGGCCACCACGAATCTACTTTCTGTTTCTATAGACTTGCCTATTCTCAAAACCAGGGCACGTCTGTGATGTGCTAAGTCGCCCCATTGTGTGAAAGGAGATAAAAATGGGGTGAAGTCAGGGCCCCAAGGGGCCAGGTGGCTTGGGAGTAAGGAGCAGAGATAAAGGCTTCCTCTGGGGGGGGGGGGCTCCAGGCAGCCCCAGGCCTGTCTGCGGGGAGTCAGTGACCACCCAGGTGTGTGCAGATGAGGGGGACAGAGAGGCAAAGGGCCCCTTCCTGGGGACAACAGGGGTGCTGGCTGGGAGGCCCAGGATGGGGGAAGGTGGGGGGATGGCGGGTCTCGGGGTGGAGGGCAGGGCTTGGTCTGTCTGTGCAGGGGGAGAAGCCCAGAGTCTGCAAGAGCAGGTGGGGAGGAGGAGGAGGAGGGAGGGCGGAGGGAGGGCAGGTGGTGGCTGGGTGGGGCTCCGTCTAATAAAGGGTGACTTCCAGCCCGCTGCCCCGCAGGCAGGAGAGCTTTGGGGACACCCTAGCAGGCACCGGCGCCCCGGGCCCAGCGCACCTCGGTGAGTCCTTCTCCCGCACGTCCCTGCAGCGAGACTTGTCCCCCTTCTGTGCCATCTCCTTTTCTTGCTGAGTGTCCCTGGGACTAGCCTGAGATGGGGGTGCTCCCAGTGCCTGCTCCTGTCCTGAGATCCTCGTCACCCTTCTCCACCTCCCCAAGGTGGCCACGTTAACCCCCCAGGGAGGAGGACCGGCCTGCAGCATGAACCTGTCGCTCCTGGCCTGTGTGCTGGCCTGTTTTGTGGGGGCCTGGGCCCCTGCTGTCCACGCCCAAGGTACTGTCTTCTGCCATGCCTACCCCACCTCCAGGGACCCATCCGTCTTTCCCGTCCCCATTTATCTCTCCTCTCTTCCAGAAAGTTCCCCCAATCCCGCTCCACTGAATTCTCTGATGGCTCCTGCGCCTGGCATTTGGATAATTCCTGGGGTCGGGGGTGGAGACGGGGGTCCGCAGCTCCTTCTTCCAGAGCCGCCCTCAGTGCCCACTTTGTAAGACTCGGGTAGCCGGCGGGAGCCCGAGTGGTTCCAGCTGTGGGCAAAGCCACTTACCGCCGGGGACACATCGAAACGTCCTGACCCTACAGAGATAGGGCTGGGTTAGAGGTCAGAGCCTCGGAGACCAATGGCAGTGGACTCCCATCCCCGTCCCCACCCCGCGCCCCCGTCCACGCGGTCCGACTGAGAGCTACTCAACCTTTCTGAGTGCCACTTTCCTCGCCTGCAACGTGGGAATGTCAGAGTCCCACTGCATCGACCCGACAGGACTCGAGGGTCCAATGAGCCGGTGGCTGCGGAAGACTCTTGGCCCAGTGTCCGGCAACGACAATAACCACTTCTGTTATCCATGGGGGACCCCTTCCGCCCTCCCCTACCCCTGGCCCCAGAGCAGGTGCTTGAGGATTTCTGACACCAAAGGACAGCTCTGGGCATGCAGTGTCCCGCCCCACCGGCCCCGACACTGGCTCTGCATCCCCTGAGTCTCAGCAGCTGGCCGGGGGCTTGGCCAGGTGGAGGAGCCGCGCCCCCACCTTCCTGGCCCGTCTGCCCCCAGCAGTCCCACCTGCCCCCTGGCTAGGTCCCAGAGCTTAGCCTTTGCCCAGGAGGGGGCTGGGCTGTGCTCATTGTTCTGCTATCAGAGTCAGCATGGCCCTTTGATCCTGGGGGAAGGGTGGCCCCCAGCCTGGGGAACCACCTTCTTGGCACTGCAGCCCGAGGCTGCAGAGCTTCCAACAGGTTCCTCTGCCCCTTGCCCTCCAGGGCCAAGGTTGGGGGATGCCAAGAGGCGGGGTCTGGCTGACGTGCGTTGTCGAGGACCTAGAAGGTGGGGCGGGGGTGTGTCCGCTGGCCTCCACCGCCAGCTCCTCCTCCCAGAGCTCCCAGTGCCTGGCCAGGGGGACTTGAGTGGTCACTGTGATGAGGACCCAGCAGAAGAGATATTCGAGCCAGGCCCATGTGGGAGGGGCGGCCTGGAGCAGGACCTGGGACCTTAGGAGCAGGCGACCAGCCGGCTTCTTTTGAGGACAGTAGGGCTAGGCCAGGGAGGAGTGGTCCTGGCCCCTTCTCAGTGCTGCACCTGTCCCCCGTCCCCTCTCCCAGAGCAGGAGTGGAAGTGGCTTTGTTCTGTCCATTGGGCGGTTGGTTCCTTGCCCAGCTCAGCAAGGGGCTGTGGGTTCCCTCCAACTCCCGCTGGGTGTCCCAATATCAAGGGCGAAGGGTGAGCCAGGCGGTCCCTCGGCCTCTGCCAGGCCTGTGGCCGTCCCTGCCCAGTGCAGACGTGAGCGTGCGGGCGGCGTGTGGTTGCAGGTGTGTTTGAGGACTGCTGCCTGGCGTACCACCGCCGCATCCGGGGCGCTGTGCTCCGGCACGCCTGGGGCTACCAGCGCCAGGAGGTGACCGGGAGCTGCAATCTGCCTGCTGTCATGTGAGTGGGGCCGAGGGGGGGGGGTGAGGCTCGCTTGCCGCTCTGCTCCCCGCTTACACCCCGGCCTGGGCACCCCCTCTCCACCTACCAGATTCCACTTCCGCCAGAAAAACAAGATGGTGTGCGGCGACCCAAAGAACAAAGAGGTGCAGAGGGCCATGAGGTTTCTGGATACACGCAAGAAGACCCCCACAAAGCTTCGCCACACCTGGATGACCTTCCGAGGTGGGTGAGCCCCCAGCCCTGCATCTACGGGGTACGCCCTTCCTGCCACCCACCCCAGTGCTTCTCAGTTCCTGAGGGGGCAGGGTGCTGGCAGCTGCCCCTGCCCCAAAGACAGACAGTTGCTGGTGAGTGGGGGGGTGGGAGGGAATGACCGACTGACCGTGTCATGGTCTAGATCTGACCATTGCTGCAGACGGAAAACCCAGACCAATGGGAAACTCAGTAGCTCATATAACCAGTGACAGCTTCAGGTTCGGCTGGATCCAGGAGCTCCAAAAATGTTGGTGGAGCTCTTATCTACTTCTTTCTCTCTCCATCTCTTGGACAGGCTTTCATGCTGGGAAGAATTTGAGTCCTGGAACCTCCGAGCTACCATCGTCCAAGTTGAGTGACCCCACTAGACACGGGAAGAGGAACACCTCCTCCTTCCAGCAGCAGCAAATCTAGGTACAGACTCCCGGTCATGTGACCATCTTCTACCCATCACCTTTGCCAAGGGCCGAGGGCTCAAAGTCGGCTCATGCTGGCACAGCAGATTCCCATCCAGGACCAAGGAGGGCTGGCTGTGTGGGCAGCCCCTGCAGGTTCGCATGGGAGGGTCCTGTCCACTGCCCTGCCCCACCCAGGGAGGCCAGCAAGAGCTGAAGTGAACCCCCCGGGAGAGGGGCGGAGGGCTGCAGGACCCCCCATACCAAGCCATTGTCCAGCGGACTCCTGTAATTCTAGTCAATTCTGACATTGTCTCCCCGGAGATAGAGTCAGATCCTATAGGTTAAGGACTCAGTCCCACAATACTGTCCCCACCTCAGAGGCCAGTTGCAAGCAGTGGGTTGTCACTCGTACTTCCGACTGACTGGCTATAAACCAGGGCTCCCTACTCCGGCTCACTCGTTGGCTAGAGCGGCCCACAGGGTTCAGGAAAACACTTTACTTACGTCTACTACTTTATTATAAAAAGATCTTACAAAGGGCTAGGCCAGGAGGCTCACAGGAGTAATCCCAGCACTTTGGGAGGCTGAGGCAGGATGATCTCTTGAGGCCAGGAGTTTGAGACCAGCCTGGACAACATAGCAAGACCAGTTTTTTTGTTTTGTTTTGTTGTTGTTTTTTTTTTTTTTTTGGTTTTGTTTTTGTTTTTGAGGCAGAGTCTCGCTCTGTCACCCGAGCTAGAGTGCCATGGTGTCAGCCTAGCTCACAGCAACCTCAAACCCCTGGGCTCCAGCAATCCTCCTGCCTCAGCCTCCTGAGTAGCTAGGGCTACAGACATGCGCCATGACGCCCAGCTAATTTTTCTATTTTTAGTAGAGACAGGGTCTCTCTCTTGCTCAGACTGGTCTCAAACTCCTGACCTTAAGCAATCCTCCTGCCTCAGCCTCCCAGAGTGCTAGGATTATGGGCATGAGCCACCGTGCCTGGCCAGCATGGCCGATTATTAACGTAAACTCCAGCCCCTCTGTCCTCTCCAAGATTCCAATCATGGCTTGGTCTGTCTGGTGGCCTCAGCTCTCATGCGGAAACCCACCAAGAGTCACCTCCTTAGAGCAAAAGACGCTGCAATCACCCAGGAAATTGTTTTAGGAGCTCTGTGCCAGGAGCCCGGAGCAGAGACCAAATATTAGAACAAAAGATTCTCCTACCACTCGGGAAATTACAAGGACTTTAGGGGCCCCCTGCCAGGGGCCGGGGGCAGAGGCCAATGTCTATATTTGTATTAATTTACAGCCACCAATTCCACTGTGGCCTCTCCAATTCCGCCTGCAGGTCCCTAAGCCCACACATCTCCGGGATCCACAGCGCAAGAGAGACTGGATCTTTCTCTGCCACAACCGTCACCCTGCAGCCGGGGCTACCACCTGCCCTTCTGTCCTTTGGCCCAGCTCCTAATCCCTGTGCCTGCTGCCCCTGTTCACCACCCTCACCACCTCCTGCCCATGGGCAGCTGGCAGGAGGAAGCTGGCTTCATTTTAAGCCACTAGCTGTTGCAGAGACCAGAGTCAGCCTTGGGCAGTGACTGTGGCAGAGACGTGTCCTGGGGTTACACCTCCTGCCTGGAGCTTCTTGCCACCCACCCTGAGCCATGCATGCCTGTGCATCCTTCTGGGTCCTTATAAAGCCCCGGGTGGGTCCAAGCATGCCCCTGCAAGACTGTTGCTTTTCTATGACTTTATAAACCTTTATAACAATAAACCTCTGGGGCTCTGTCATGTTTCTTTATGAGGTGCAGTGTGCGTGGCGGGGTGAATGAGAGGTGAACCCCACATGAGCTTCCCCACCCCGAGATCTGTGCCCTCCCCCAGCCCTCAGAAAAGACGGCGGCTTCCCAGCGGTTGGCCGCAGCCTGCACTTCATGGCGACCTTGAAACAATTGCTTTTTCTCTCTCTCCGGTCTCTTTGCTCATCTGGAAAATGAGGGTCACTGGGTTGGCTCTGCCCAGATTCCGGGGCAGTGGGGAGCAGTTTCCACAAGCTCGCTAAGCCTCAGTTCTGTGCCCCCTCCAACACAGTGGGGGTGATAATACTGCCTGCTTCGGAGGGGCCTGTTGGGGACCAAGTGCACCATGATCTATGAAGGGCATAGCACACAGCACGTGCTGATTGCGTGGTCATGGGTGCCATGACCATCCCAGCCACCAGATGGCGGTAGATCTGGCCCGACTTGCAACCAGGCAGGATGGGGTGACGGTTGACGGCACCTGCACAGGCGACTGCCCAACTTTCAACCCGGCCCGACCTTGGCTACGTCGCTTAACCTCTCCGAGCCTCAGTTTTCCCGCCTGTAAAATGGGAATGGGAATATTTATAGACATTTAGACTATTCCCTGGAGTTACAGCCACAACCAAAGGAGCCAACAATCGTAAAATACTCAGAATGGTGTCCAGTGGGTAGTACGTGGTCAGGAAGTGTGGGTTTTTTTTTCCTTTTTATGTGAGATAGGTTTAGGCACATCCCACACATGCGTGTGAAAACCCAAGTGTCATGTTTACGAGCCGATAAAGGATCCGTTGTTACCCTTACTGGGGAACCCACGAGGCCTCCGGTTCCCTGCATACACAAACCTTGCCCAGCCTTGCGGAGGGCAGTGTCTACTTGCTTCTAGAACTTTCCAAGGGGCAGGCAGACTTAACCCAAAATAACTTTATTGTTGTCTCCACTTCTGATATAAAAGCATCCTCGGAACGCTAGCCCGGGCCCCCGGCAGGGCAAACGCCACCACCGAGGCCACCGCCAACCACTCTGTGTGGGGTCGGGCGCCGTAGGCCCTTGTGCTCTGAGGGACGAGCCCACGCCCAGCCCGGCCGCCCGGCCCCGTGTCCCGCCGACCCTCCAGGGGGGAGCCGCAGTGCAGTACAGAAGTTCGAGCCTGAGATGGACCAGATACAGTGACGGCAGGGCCTCTCCCCGCCCTTGGCCGTGGGGTGGAGGGTGCCCACTGCAGGTTCTTGCTGTCTCCAGCAGAGACGGGGCGCTGGGGTCCCCCGGGGCCGGCACGGAGGCCCGGGAAGAGGCAGGGTGCGCCTGAGGTCGTGGTGTAGCGTTTCACTCTTCCTGAGTTCCGGGGTTTCACCTGGCCAGCCGTTGCTCATGGACAGCAATTCTTCCCAGTTCTAGAATCTTCCTCCTCTGGGTGGCACGGGAGCTCTGGGGCCCACTGAGGCACTCCCCAACTAGAGCAGTTGCAGCTGCACCTTCAGCCGCAAGGCCTGGCCCCCTGGTCCTGGCTGCCCCTCCTGCTGGGCACCCCAGGGCCCTGCCACACTCACCACCCCCAGCTGGTAGGTTCCAGGGCCCGGCCTCCTACGCCCCAGCTGCAGGGCGCTGAGGCCGCGGAGGTGATTCATGCGGAAGAAACCTTGCCTGTTGCCACGTGTGATGACGTAGCGGACCCGGCCCCCCTCCAGCGCTGGTAACAGCTCCAGGATGTGTTCGGCCTGGCCCAGGCGTGAGAGGTTCAGGCCCAAGGTCAGCAGGGCCTCCGAGTCAAGAGCGGCCAAGCTCACCTGATGAGAAAGACCAGGTGGGCAGTCAGAGCCTGGGCGAATCGGGATTTGCTGGGTAGGGGCTGGGGTGTCATTCATGGTCAAAGTCAGAAAGGAGATTTTTGGGGGCTGGGCGGCCTGGCTCACGCCTATAATCCCAGCACTTTGGGAGGCTGAGGCTGGAGGATCACTTGAGGCCAAGAATTTGAGACTAGCCTGGGCAACATAGCAAGACCCCATCTCTACCAAAAATAGAAAAATTAGCCAGGTGTGGTGTTGCACACCTTTAGTCCCAGCTATGTGGGAGGCTGAGGCAGGAGGATTGCTTGAGCCCAGGAGTTTGAAGCTGCAGTGAGCTATGATGACGCCACAGCACTCTAGCCTGGGTGACAGAGAGAGACCTTGTCTCAAAAAAAAAAAAAAAAAAAAAAAAAGAGGCACCTTTAAGGGATCTCTAAAGTGAAGAACATTAAGTGTCCTCTGCCTTGGCTTCTTGTGTCCACTAGGCTGGCGGTTAGCTTGGGCTGGTTCTCGGGTGACAGCACAGAGAGGCAGGTAAGTGGCCACTCTGACACACAACGATTCCAGATCCCTTGTCTGGGCTGAGAGGCCTTGGGCAGAGCCCGGTCAGCCTGGGCCAAGGGACCTGAGCTTTTGCCCACAGGGGACCATGAACCAGGCGCCATCGGTCGGATGGCATTGGGTCCCAGAGCCCTAAGGGCACTCAGAGGCATCTGGGGATGGCTGGTGTTAGGAACAAGGGGCTTTTTAGCAGAAGCCTGGCCCCAAAAAGGACGCCAGAGCTGACAGTCAAAGAAATATATACACCAGGCAGAAGAGCCACCCGATAGCTTCCGCTGCGCTTCCTGCATCTGGCTCTCTTTGAGAGCCCCCTGTATGCGGAGCACAGACCGCTCTTTGTCTGAGCACCTCTGAAGTGCCTTCCTGGTCCTGGCAGCTGGACAGGGCCCTGAATAGGCCAGAGAGCCTGAGTGGCCGGCCACTGCGGGCTGGATGACGTATCCAATCCCACAGGAGGTTATCTGTGTTTTCTTCCCCTTTGCTCCGGGCAGTGCTGTGTTTGTTTCACCTCATTTACATGCCGATGGTTCGGGGTTGCACTCTTAAGCAAACACTGTCCCCGTTCTGCAGACCCTCAGCACTGGAGAGCCCCGTCCTTCCTTCCCTGGGAGTGTTAGTACGACTCATGAGCTTACTGACACCTGCTGGCAGTCCGTGGGTATTGCAGGCAAAGGCACAGAGTGTGGCCCTTCTCCACCCAAGTCTACCTGTACCCACCCCAGGAGCCCTAGCAACCACTCCACTCACTCTTACTGAGTACCAACAGGTGGCGATACAGCAATAAATCATTTTGTTTTTATTTATTTATTTATTTTTGAGACAGAAAGTCTCGCTCTGTTGCCCAGGCTAGAGTGCTGTGGCATCAACCTAGCTCACAGCAACCTCAAACTCCTGGGTTCAAAGGATCCTCCTGCCTCAGCCTCCCGAGTAGCTGGGACTACAGGCATGTGCCACCACACCTGGCGAATTTTTTCTATTTTTAGTAGAGACAGGGTCTCGCTCTTGCTCAGGCTGGTCTCGAACTCCTGAGCTCAGGTGATCCTCCCACCTTGATCTCCCAGAATGCTGGAGCCAGTGCACCCAGGCTAAATGTTCTACTTATTGATGTCTTATTTGTCTCCCTATTAGGATGTCAGCCACACCAGAGCAGGGACCTTTTCTTTTTCTAGCTCACTATTGTTCTGTAACAGCACCCAGGGCATTGTAGTAGGTGTTCAGTAAAATCTGGAATGAAAGAGTTTGGGTCCCAGTTGTCTGTAGTGGGGGTGAGCTTGGGGTAACGGCTTCCATGCTCAGTGATGAGGATTTTTTTGGAAACAACATCAAGCAATGACCTCAGAAGGCAGTGACTTGCAGAGAGCCCAGGACACCTGGCCACAAAGACCCAGATTGCTCATAAAGAGAAGGCCGTGTTTGCAGTAACTATGGAATCCCTGAGTCACCACTTCCGAATATGTGACTGAACCTCTGAGCCTCAGTTTCCCCATCTGTAAAATGGGGATAACAGTGGCATCTACACCTCCCCAAGTGGTCATAAACATTGAGAGGCTGGGAATGCAGAGTGCTTGGAGCAATGCCTGCATACAGCAGGTGCTTAATAAATGTTTGCTTTTCAGATCTTTTGGGTGATGGCTATAGGGATTGACCTACAGTGGCCTCAGGGACTCTTTGGCTCAAATTTGTGGCAAAACCACCCTCCCTGTGTGCCCTCAGCAGGTGGCCCACTGGAAGGACAGAGCCACAGGCCTGCTCTGCTGTCACTGATGGGCACACAGGGAAGATCCCTGAGGTTTCCAGAGGCAAGGCGGGTACGGGAGCTCCAGGGGCCCCTCAGGCACAGGAAGGGGGTGCAAAGGCAGATGCTAGGTGGGTGCGCCAGGTGGGGGCTGCTAAGAGGAGCCTCTGCTGGGGGCCCCCAGGAAAGCACTCGCTTCCCCAGAGCTCAGACTGGGAAGGGGCTTGGACTTGACTTGGGCTAAGAGTTGGGGTGCGGGGACGGGGGACAGGCGGGGCTGCGGGGCAGAGGCTGTTCCACTGGCTGCCCTGGGATGCCCTGGTGCTGAACCCACAGGGGCCCCGAGGGATCACCAGCCAGGAGGTGACGGGTTCCAGGGTGCAGGCAGGGTGGGAGGGATTTGGGTATTTCTCCTGCCTCCAAGTGCCATAAAAGGGAGGCACAGGGCACACCCCAGCCCAGCCGGGGTCTGTGTGGGAGGCATCTGAATTGTCACCACAAGGGGAGCAGGGTGCTCAGGAGATGTGTGCCCCCCAGATCCCCCAAGAGGAACCCTGGGGCTGAGCTGGCACAAGAAGACCCGGGCAGGTACCGTGACATGGGGACAAGCTGGGACTCGTGGAATCCAGTGCTCCTTTTGGGGGACTGATTTGGCTCAGCCAGATCCATGGCCTCTTCCCCACCCTCCACCTGTCCCCTGGCCGCCCCCCTCCCCACCATGTAGCCCTCATGTCACCTGGTGGTCCCTTCATGTCACCTGGTGGTCCCCGTGGGCGCCACGCCGGGACCGGCCACGCGGGGAGAGGCCGTTCATCTTGCATTCGTAGCAGGCTTCGGGTGAGAGCGGCTCCTCCCTGTCCGGGCCTTCCTGGGGATGGAGGCCCAGGCCGGAGACGCAGTGCCTGGGCCGGGCGGGCAGGGTGGGCGGGGACTTCAGTGGCAGGCTGGTGGGGCCTCCCCAGCCATCCCCCTCCGCTCCATTCTGAGCCATGCCGCCAACGCCCGCGTGCAGATGTACCTCCGCGTGTGTGTGCACGAGCGCACGTGCACACGCATGGGGCGTGCGTGTGCTTGTGCATCCCTGGGTGGCACGGGTGGGAACACAGGAGGGAGATGACATGCACACGCTGGGATGGGTGAATGGGCCTCGGTGTACCCAGGGGTGAGTGCGTCCCAGCCTATGTGCGCACACGGAGGGTGACTCATGCCAGTGCACGTGTGCTTACTGCGGTGTGTGAATCTACACGCGTGTGACTGCAGATGGGGGCGGTGGGGCTGGCACACACAGAGGGCTGCGACGTGTGCTTTTTCACCCGTGCAAAGCGGGATGTGCCAACGGTACTCGAGTGTCCCCGGGGATGCGGGCACGTGGGCACCTGCGTGCATACCGGGGTAATGACCTGGGCACACACACCCGTGCACACTGGGTGCCCCGGCTTGCTGGTGCAGGTGCACCCTGCACGGACAGTGGTGTGAGCCTGCGTGTGCACGGACGTAGGTGCTGCCCAGTTCTCTGCCCACGCGTGTACGTGCTCGCAGGGCATCGAGCCTGCCTGCCTCGCTCGAGCCTCTCACCCTTGCCCAGCCCGGAAGTAGCCTCGGGGACAGCCACACAGGAAGCCGCCGGGCGTGTTGGCACAGCCGTAGCTGCAGGGGCTGGCACGTCCGGCGCACTCGTCCACGTCCTGGCAGCCCCCCAGGGCCTGGTCGAAGCTGAAGCCGGAGGGGCAGACGCAGCGGAAGCCACCGAGCGTGTTGCGGCAGGAGGCGCTGCCGCAGGCGGTGGGCGACAGTGCGCACTCGTTCTCATCTGCGTGCCGGCGGGGGGAGGCGGGGAGGGGAGGACACAGGGCCAGGAGTGGGGGTGGCCTTCGCACCCCCTGGAACCCTCCGCCTAGAGCCCAAGTCCAATGTCGCAGCCTCCGCAAGCTCGCCCTGAGCCCTCGGACTAGTTCTGCCCCGCCCCCATTTATGCTCCCTGACACCTCCCACCCCTGCACCAAACCCGGTGGTTTCCCTTGAAAGCATTTCTCTCTCTCTTTAAAAAAAAAATAATTTTGGCCGGGCATGGTGGCTCAGGCCTGTAATCCTAGCACTCTAGGAGGCTGAGGCGGGAGGATCGCTCAAGGTCAGGAGTTTGAAACCAGCCTGAGCAAGAGCGAGACCCCCGTCTCTACTAAAAATAGAAAGAAATTAATTGACCAACTAAAAATATATATACAAAAAAATTGGCCAGGCATGGTGGCGCATGCCTGTAGTCCCAGCTACTCGGGAGGCTGAGGCAGGAGGATCGCTGGAGCCAGGAGTTTGAGGTTGCTGTGAGCTAGGCTGATGCCACGGCACTCACTCTAGCCTGGGCAACAAAGTGAGACTCTGTCTCAAAATAAATAAATAAATAAAATAATAATAATTTTTCTTTTTTTTAGAGAAGGGGTCTTGCTGTGTTGTCCAGGCTGGTCTCAAACTCCTGGCCTCAAGCGATCCTCCCACTTTGGCCTCCCCAAGTGCTGGGATTACCGGCGTGAGCCCTCATCTTAGATAGTTGTGCTTGTCACAGCATCTCGGAGGAGAGGATTCCTAGTCACTCGCTCTGGACGGACCCTGGTTGGGGCCCGGCTCCCCCCAGCCCCCGCCACTCACCCACACACTGGGCCCACTGGGAGTGCTGGGTGAAGCCCTGGGGGCAGCCGCAGCGGTAGCCCCCCGGCTCGTTCTGGCAGCCGTGCCCGCAGCGATGGGGCCCGTCACATTCATCCACATCTGCCAGAGAGAGGGAGGGGGAGCCGGCTCGCCAGGTGGCCCTCGGGACCACCCCCACCAGCCCTGGGCGCCACCAAAGCCAGGCCGTACCTTCACAGCCACGGCCGGCGCTGTCCAGCGCGAACCCCTGGTGGCACTCGCAGCGGAAGCTGCCCGGGGTGTTGTGGCAGAGACCACGGGTGCCACATGGGCCAGGCTGGGCTGAGCACTCGTCATCGTCTGCAGAGGACAGAGACGGGAGGGGTTCCCTGGTGGTTAGGGGACTCGTGTCCCACAACTTGACCTGCAATGTAGCTTCAGGCAAGTCACTCACGCTCTCTGCCTCAGTTTCCCCCTCCGTGGAAATGAGATCCATCACCATTCCCACATCACAGAATTGCCACCGATAGTTGACATGGCACCCATAAAGGACTTTGTTTGAATCTCATCTCCATTGCCTCGAAGCTGTGTGGCCTGGAGCAACTCACCCACCCTCTCTGTGCCGTGGTTTCCTCAGTTGTGACAAGGAGATGACAATACCCACTTCACTGCGGGGTTTATTTTTTGTGAGAAATTAACCTAATTACATAAAAGGCTTAGGACAGTGCCAGTAAAAGAGGAAAAAAAATAACAGTAAGAAAATAAATCTAGGCCCGTCGCGGTGGCTCACGCCTGTAATCCTAGCACTCTGGGAGGCCGAGGCGGGCGGATTGCTCGAGGTCAGGAGTTCAAAACCAGCCTGAGCAAGACCCCGTCTCTACTAAAAATAGAAATTAATTGGACAACTAAAATATATATACAAAAAATTAGCCGGGCATGGTGGCACATGCCTGTAGTCCCAGCTACTTGGGAGGCTGAGGCAGGAGGATCGCCTGAGCCCAGGAGTTTGAGGTTGCTGTGAGCTAGGCTGACCCCACGGCACTCACTCTAGCCTGGGCGACCAAGTGAGACTCTGTCTCAAAAAAAAAATTAAAAAATAAAAAAAAAAAAGAAAAGAAATCTCTGCAGTTTAAACCACCCAGTGTTTGTTTCTTTTTTCCCTATTGGTTTTAATTTAATATTCCATGAACATCTTTCCATGTCTTTAAATATTCTTAGCATGCTTCTACGTATCATTTTTAATGGTCACCTTCTCTTTGGCTGGTGCAGACTTTCTCTGTTTCATTTGACTAACTGCTGATTAGAAGACACTTGGATTTTTCTAATCTTTCACCATTTTAAACCATACGAAGACTACGTAAATCTTTGTGTGTCTCTGTGATGATTTCCTTAGAAATTGCTAAAAGTAGAATGGGAGGCGCAGAGGTCTAGAGTTGCAAAGTTTTTGGATTTGAATGGCCAAATCCCAATCCCACTCTTGCAGTCTAAGGTGTTTGTCACGGCAGTCCAGACTAAGACAGCTGGGCTACCAGGGGCTGGCTATGGTGACAGCCCAAGGCTCATAAACTGCATTCACACTGGGGTTCAAGGGTAAATTCCTGATGGAGAATCCTGCTTTTGGCTTCCCTGAGCACAGAGGGTTTTTTTTTAGAGACAGGGTCTTACTCTACACCAGGCTGGAGGACAGTGATGAGATCATAGCTCACTGTGGCCTCAAACTCCTGGGCTCAAGTGATCCTCCCACCTCAGCCTCTTGAGTAGCTGGGACTACAAGTATATGCCACTGTGCCTGCCTAAGTTTTAAACTTTTTGTAGAGGTGGGGTCTTGCTATGTTGCCCAGTCTGGTCTCAAACTCTTGGCCTTGAGCGATCTTCCCACCTCAGCCTCCCAAAGTGCTGGGATTACAGGTGTGAGCCACTGTGCCCAGCCCTGTGTATGGAGATTCTTGACACTAGGCATATCACTGTGGTGATGTGGAATCTCTCTCGGGTATAACAGATATCAGGGACATGGGATTTCTAAGTGGGAATGGCTCCTGCAGCTGACAGAGTGTCTGAGCTGTCACTGGGGGGGCCACAGAGACTGGCTCTAGACTACTGCCAGAAAGAAACATCTAGTACCACCTGCGGTTTCTTTCCCTTGTGTTCAACAAAGCAAAGCAAGTAGGGGCGGCTACTGTAGTCATGCAAGTTTGATTTTCTAGTTTAGTCATCAGCAAAGTGGGGCCCCACAGGACAAAAATCTGGCCCACTGCCTGTTTGTATCAATAAAGTTTTATTGGCACACAATCATGTTGATGCAGCTAGTCTGAAAACTTTACTGTTGCAGAAAAAGAGAAATGCATCTTGTTTCAAATATTTGTTCAAATGTTCCCTTTTGATGAGACTTCATCTGATCCCTCTTTTAAAACTGCAGCCCTCTCGGGAGGCTGAGGCAGGAGGATAGCTTGAGCCCAGGAGTTCAAGGTTAAGTGAGCTATGATCGCACCACTGCATTCTACCCTGGGTGAGACCTTGTCTCTAAAAAACTAAAAACAAACAAAAAACACCCAAACAACTGCAGCTCTCTCCTTTCCTGACCTCCTGCTTTTACTTTTTCTTTCTTTCAAGCCATGCATGACCCTCTAACATGCTATTGCATTAACTTATCGTTATGTCTGTTTCGGGTCCGATTCTCTGCTAGAAGGAAAGTCCTGTGAGGATAGGAGGCTCTGCCTTTTGCGTCCATGGCTGTACCCCGGGGCTCTCTAACAGAGTTGGGCAAACTGTTTCTGTTTCTGTAAAGGGCTCTGCTGCAAGACTCGACTCTGTCATTGTAGCACAAAAGCAGCCAGAGGTGATAGGTGAGCAAGTGGGCGTTTCAGTGTGCCAATAAAACTTTATTAGCAAAAGACAGCAGGGGGCCAAACTCTGCTGGCAGACTGGAGCTTGCTGCCCTTTGGTCTGGTGTACTGCCTGGCACACAGTAGGTGCTGGATGAGTGGATTAGTGGGAACCAGAATGGAGTCACCCTTGGCTGGGCTTGGCCCTTGGGGGAGATCTAGTTCCCTGGGGGCCACAAGGCTCTAAGAAGCAATGGCGGTAGCAGACGCCCTTGCGGCCCAGGGCAAGGGGAGCTGCCGTGGGTCCAGGTCAGAGGGCCTCCTGGCTCCCAAGGGCGAGGAACGAGGCAGGGGGTTCCAGATGCCACCAGGATGCAAGCAGTTCGGAGGGAAGGACTTTGTTCTGATCACCCCTGATTCAACAATGTCCGGCACAGACCAGGTGCTTGGGACTTCTACGGTGAACAAAAGCGCGAAGGCCGTGGCCACTCACCAAAGCAGGCCTGGTGGCGCTGGGTGAAGCCGGGGGGACAGCGGCAGGTGAAGGCGCCGACGGTGTTGACGCAGAGGAACTGGCAGTTGTGCTGTCTGGAGGTGCATTCATCCACGTCTGCGACACAGATGGTCGCAGCAGGCTCAGGAAAGGGCCTGGCGGGGACTGCGGGGCTTCGGGGGCTGCTCTTGCCACCTCCAGGCAGACGGGCGGCGGGACAAAGCCCTTGGAGGTGGTGCTGGCCTCCACGCAGGTGGGAGGGGTCGAGACCACAGGGCATGTGCTCTGGGGGGTTTGGGACGGAGCCCTAGAGGACACGGGGTGGGGTGGGGGAAAGGATGCCACCTCTGCAGGTCCTGCCATCTTCCTCCAATAGGTAGCCACGGGGACAGGTGCACAGGAAGCTGCCCTCGGTGTTTTTGCAGAGGAAGGTACACGGCTTGGGGGCCTGGCTACACTCGTCTACATCTGGGGGAGACATCAGGATGCGGGGAGGGGTAGGTCAGACAGACATTCCTTGGTGGAGGTGAGGGGGAACTCAGAGGCTGGGGTCTCCACCCAGATCCCTGCCACCCAAAATCTGCGGACTTACACAGGCATTGACACTTTTTCTGTAAAAACACAGTAAGTACATTTGGTTTTGCAGGTGGCCTTTGTATTAGCAAAGCAGCCATGGAGGGTAAGTACACAAACAGGCATGGCTGTGTGTCAATAAAACTTTATTTAGAAAAACAAGTGGGGGGCCAGACTCAGCTCTCGGCCTGATTTGCCCCCCAACCACCTTCCCCTAACTTAGATGAATACCTGCTACATGATGTAACCGGAAATCTCAGCATGCATTAATAAAAAATAAAAGAAAGAAAGAACACCAGGAAAGTGGCCCAAACAGGGGAGGCCGGGCCTGGCCAGGGGTACAGGGGCGGGTGGGGCTCACCCAGGCAGGCCGTGGCAGCAGTGTCTGGCGCATACCCGGCCTGGCAGTGACAGCGGAAGGAGCCGAGGCTGTTGATACACTCGCCGTGGGGGCACAGGTGAGCGATCACACGACACTCGTCTACGTCTGGGGACAGGCAGGGTGGGCGAGGCTGGGGTTGGCTGGCCGGCACCTCGGGCCACTGGGGCCTGCCTCCTCTGTCTGCCCGGCGGCCCTGTCCCTGGAGGCAAGGACCCCCCGCACCCCCAGCTCGCATGGACGCCAGCCGCAGGCCATGGCTTGCACCTGAGCCAGCTCCTTCCACCGAGCGCTGGAAATGCCACCTCCCGCCCCGGGAGGGAGACACAGGTCCACTCCCCAGCCTCACCAGCGCCACATCCTCTGGGCACCAACACAGGCAGGGACACACAAGCACACGTGCAGTGCCACACACCAGCCACGAGCCCACACGCTCCTGCAGACACGGGAACACACACTCACGCTTGGGATCCCCGTCCCTCACACACACCCTGGAAAAGTCGCTTCCTTCCCAGGCCTGGCAATGTCACCGCTGGTCACTTGGGGTAACCTTTCTCACCCTCAGTGACACACTCGAAGACACACACTCACACGCACGCACACGCACACAAAACACACACTGGCTCCCGCACACACACAGAGTGAAGAACAGGCCAGGCGCGGTGGCTCGCGTCTGTAATCCCAGCGCTTTGGGAGGCCAAGGCAGGAGCATCGCTTGAGGCCAGGAGTTCGAGACCAGCCTGGGCAACATAGCAAGACCCCATCTTTAAGAAAAGTTAAAAATCGAGCATAGTGGTGGCGCTGGTAGTCCCAGCAACTTTAGAAGCTGAGGTGGGAGGATTGCTTGAGCCCAGGAGTTGGAGGCTGCAGTGAGCTGTGATTGTGCCACTGCACTCCAGCCCGGGTGACAGAGAGGGACCCTGTCTCTAAAACAAGAAAAATAAGCAAAAAAACCAAAACACCCAAAAAACAAAGAATAGGCCAGGAGCAGTGGCTCACATCTGTAATCCTAGCACTCTGGGAGGCTGAGGCAGGAGTATCGCTCAAGGTTAAGAGTTCGAAATCAGGCTGAGAGAGACCCCGTCGCTACTAAAAATAGAAACAAATTAATTGACTAACTAAAAATATATATACAAAAAAAAAAATGAGCCAGGCATGGTGGCGCATGCCAGCTACTCAGGAGGCTGAGGCAGGAGGATCACTTGAGCCCAGGAGTTGGAGGCTGCAGTGAGCTAGGCTGACGCCACAGCACTCTAGCCTGGGCAACAGAGTGAGACTCTGTCTCAAAAAAACCCAAAAAACAAAAAACTAAGCACACACGGCAGCTCACACACCTGCTCCCTCGACACCTGAGTTTGTGCACACACACAAGTTTACACACCTGCTAGCACAAAGACACGCACACGCAGAGCGTCCCACACCTGCTAGGAGACAGACACATGACCCTGCGCAAACCGCCCTGCTCCCCGGCCGGCAGGGGCGGGGGCACCCACCTCGGCCCTCGGCCGTGTAGCCTGAGCCGTGGGGACACAGCTTCCTGTGGGCAGAGGTGCCGGGGAGGGGACAGAGCTCGCAGTGGGGCCCCCAGCCCCGGCCGCCCCCGCAGCAGCACTCGGCCCTGGTGACGGGCTCGCCCCGGCTGGACGGGGCCTGGCATGCGGCCTGCAGCGCCTGGGAGAAGCAGGGCCCCCGCCGGACGTCTGCGGAGAGTGGGCGGGAGCCGCAGGTCACTCCAGGTGGCCGGCGGGGGGGGGGGCAAAGGCGCTGGGCCTGCCTCGGGGCGAGCTGCATTTGGGGCGGGGCGTTGGGGACAGGGGCGTCCAGGAGGGATCGGGACACGCAGATTCCTCTGGGCACCACTGGGGTCAGCTCCTAGGACGGGGGACACCTAGGGAGGCCCCATTCCAGGGTGTGACGCTCCTCTGGTGGAAGAGAGTGGGAGCCGGGGCAGAGGGAGGCGGCCTGCTCCCCCCGGGGCGTGACCAAAGGGACAAACAGAAGAGGGGCAAAGGGGTGCAGTGTGCCGGCTCAGCACCCCCGTGGTGCCCTCGGTTCCTGGGAGCTACCCTGCCGCGGGAGGCGCGTGTCGCAGTGCACCTGGCCACACTCACCGCTGCACTCGGTGAGGGTGGGACTGGGCCGGAAGCCGTCGTCACAGTCGCACCTGAAGCTGCCCACGGTGTTGACGCAGCGGCCGTGGGTGCAGAGGCCCGGCCGGGCGCCGCATTCGTCCTCGTCTGGGTGGGAGGGGGACGCAGCGGGCAGGGAGGCCGCGGCCCCGGGCCGGCCTCCCCGGCAGCCCCGAAGCTTCCCCGTGAGTCACCCCGCGGCCTCTTGCTCTGACTTCTCCCCTCCACTTCGGGGCTCCCCGCACCCCCAGAAGTGCCAGCGCCCCCATACCTGTGCAGCCTTCCCCGGCGCCGGGCTGGGGCCGCGTGCCCGGGGGGCAGATGCACACGAAGGTGCCCACCAGGTTCTTGCAAAGCATGCCACGGGCTCGGCAGTCCTGCTGGCCGTCTGCGCACTCGTCCACGTCTCGGGAGGACCGGGGACAGAAGTCAGCCAGGGGCGAGCAGGTGGAGTCACCTGCAGGTCCGCCAGGTGCCCGTCCCTCCCAGGGCGGGGGCGGGGGGCCGCCCCCAGCCTCTGAGAAGTCCAGGGAGTCAGGAACTGCCCCCCAAAACTCGCATCCTCCACCCACGTCAGGGTTCTGTGACTCTATCAGGCCCTGGGACGCTGACCCTGAGCCAGCCCTGGAGAGACCGAGTCCCAGCCAGGGTCCCCTCCCACCTCCCCACCCCCCCCCCGCAGACTCTGTGCACTTTGGGACAGGTGTGGCGGGGGCTGCTCTGTGCGCATTGCAGGACATTGCGTAGCAGCCCCAGTCCCCGATGCCCACACCTACCCCGGCAGGTGGCCCCGTCTTCCCGCAGTGCGTAGCCGGCCGGGCAGGAGCACAGGTAGGAGCCCTCGGTGTTGTGGCAGCGGAAGGCACAGAGCAGCGGGTTCAGGGCGCACTCGTCGATGTCTGGGGGGGCCGGGGGAGGTGGCGGCTGGGCGGGGTCCGCCGGGGAACCCCCACCCCGGCCCCAGGCCGCCCCCAGACGGGCGTCCCCATCGCACAGCCCAGGTCCTGGGCAGGCGGGGCCGTACCCTCGCAGGGCATCATGGGGCCGGGTTCGAAGCCGTCCGCGCAGGCGCATTCAAAGCCTCCGATGACATTGGTGCATGAGCCTTGCCCACAGGGGTGGCCCACGGCGCACTCGTCTGTGTCTGGGTGGGGGTAAGGCGGAGGGGTCAGCGCCTGCCGAGAGCCCCTGTCCTCAGTATTGTCCCCTCTGCCTCCCTGGTGACTGCCGCAGACTGGACAGTAGGGGACAGGTGAGCAGGATATGCTCAGTGAGTGAATGAGTGAGTGAGCAAGGGAGTTAATAAATGAGCGATTAAATGAGTAAGTGAAACTGAGGCAGGAGGATCGCCGGAGTCCAGGAGTTCGAGAACCGCTGTGGCAACATAGCAAAACCCTATCGCTAAAAGAAATAAATAAGGCCGGCGCAGTGGCTCACACCTGTAATCCCGGCACTCTGGGAGGCTAAGGCGGGAGGATCGCTTGAGCTCAGGCATTTGAGACCAGCCTCAGCAAAAGTGAGATCTCATCTCTACTAAAAATAAAAAAAAATTAGCCGGGCATGGTGGTGCATGCCTGTAGTCCCAGCTACTCGGGAGGCTGAGGCAGGAGGATCGCTTGAGCCCGGGAGTTTGAGGCTGCTGTGGGTTAGGCTGACGCCACGGCACTCACTCTAGCCTGGGCAACAAAGTGAGAAAGAAAGAAAAGAAAGAAAGAAAGGAAGGAAGGAAGGAAGGAAGGAAGGAAGGAAGGAAGGAAGGAAGGGAGGGAGGGAGGGAGGGAGGGAGGAAGGAAGGAAGGAAGGAGAGAAAGAGAAAGAGAGAGAAAGAAAGGAAAGAAAGAAGAGAAAGAGAAAGAAATAAAGAAAGGAAAGAAAGAAAGAGAAAGAGAGAAAGAAAGGAAAGAGAGAGAGAGAAAGGAAAGAAAGAAGAGAAAGAGAGAAAGAGAAAGAAATAAAGGAAAGAAAGAAAGAGAGAAAGAAAGAAAGAAGGAAAAGTAAATAAATGGGTAAGTGAAGGAAGGCTTGCATGAACAAGCGAATGAGTACACAGGCGAATGAGTGGGTGAATGAATGAGGAAGGGAGCAAAGGGGGAAATGAATGAGTGAGCGCGAGTGAATAAGTGAATGAGTGCCTTGGGAGGGTGAAGGGCGAAGGAAGAAATGGCGAATGGAGGAGAGAGGCACTGGGTGAGGACGGGACGCTGACTTGGGGTGCCTGTCCCCTCTGCTCTGTCCCCCTCTCCTGGGCGGGGGCCGGGGCGTGGCCGGCCACTCACCCACACAGCTGACGCCTGTCAAGTCCAGGCTGTAGCCGAAGGGACACTCGCAGCGAAAGGAGCCATCGGTGTTGACACACGTGCCGTCAGTGCAGACACCAGGGCTCTCCGCGCACTCATCCACGTCTGTGGGCGGCGGGGATTGCAGACACACAGCCCGGCACCGTGCGGGCCCCGGCACCGTGCGGGCCCCGGCGCCCTGGCCACACTCAAAGCCCCGGGGACAAGAGCCCAGGCTCCAGGCTGGCGGGGTCCAGGGCCGCCACGCATGTGGGAGGGAACCTGGGGCTCGGGGACTCGGGGAGGGCAGAGACAGGGCTGAGGGGCTCACCTTCTCGAGAGTCATCTGGGCCTGGGACTGCCCCGTGGCCGAAGGGGCAGAGGTCCTGAAAGGTGGCTGGACAGGGAGAGGGGGAGGGCAGCCAGAGTCAGCCCCCCCGGGACTCCTGAGCGCGTGCAGGGAAGGGTGAGGGGAGAATGAGCGAGGAAGGAGGGAGCCCATGGTGACAGGGGACTCTGGGCAGGGGCGGGGTGCTCACCGCTGCCCTCCTGAGGACACAGCTCACAGGGGTCACCCCAGCCCTCCCCCGGCCGCTTGCTGCAGCAGCACCGGGTCTTGGTGGTGTTGAAAGGTTTGGGCACCGAGCACTTTCCGGCCTCGAAACGGGTGAAGCAGAAACTCTGCCGTGTGTCTGTGGGGTGGGGGGTTCCGTTACCCTGATTAGGAGCCACCAGCAGAGCCCACCTGCCCCCTGCCCCACCACCAGCCTAGACCTGGTTAATGGGTGGCGCTGATCCTACCAGTGACCAATCGGAACACACCACGCCCCTAGCCATCGTGATTGGCTCAAGGGTGGGCATGTGACCCACTCTGGGCCAATGAGGATTTGCCCTGGGACTTTGGCTAGACAGCTAGGAATTCCTTGCAGAAATGTCCCATCCCATTTCACTGCTATGGGGTGTCCCTGTGTCATACTCGCCATTGGTTCTCTTAGACCAGAAGCCCTTTCCTGGAGAGGCAAAGAGGCTGATTCCAGAGAACCAGAGGACCCTGAACTTCAAACCCCAAGACCCCATTTTTCAGCCTGGGACTCCCAACGGCCTGAGAAGCCCTCATGCACAAGCAGAGGTTTGGCTTTCCCTGGGCCCTCCTCCCACCCCCAGAACAGTAAATACTGGTTGAGTTGGATTGTGGACTCTAGTCTCACCCTTGCTGCCCCTAACCCATGAGAGAACAGGCTGGCTCGAGTTGGGTGAGGCTAGCCCACACTGGACAAGACTAGCCCAGTTGAGATGAAGCCAGTTCAGAGTGGCTTAGGCTAGCTCAGACTGGATGAAAGTAGCCCAGAGGGGATGGCTGTGGCCAATACAAGGCAACTTAAACCAAGGGGACCCAGGATAACCCAGAATAGATCAGGTCAGCCCGCTGAAGAAGTGACCACTCTGGCCAGGAGGCTGCTTGGACTAAGATAACCCCACTGGTGCAGAGAAACACCCCTGGCGTGTCGGGGCTCCTGGACACATACGAGAAGCCACAGCCCTCTTTCCTGGGGGATCTGACCCTTCCCCACCCCCACCTCCCACCCTAAGCCCCGTGTGCTCCCTGGGCCCCACACTCACCAAAGCAACGGTGCCCATTGTCAGAGAGGACAAAGCCAGGGGGACAGAGGCACCGGAAGCTCCCGGGGCTGTTGGTACAGGCGCCAAACAGGCAGAGGCCAGGCTCCTCTGAGCACTCGTCAATGTCTGCAGGGGCAGGGACATGAGCTGGAGCGGGTGCAAGTGGTACCTCCACCAGGGGGAGGAAGCTACAGCTGTCAAGAGGGGAAGATGAAGTGGGGACACAGCCCAGAAGGGCCCAGGGGCTGAAGTGGGGCAGGGGCCCTCTGAGGGCTCAGCGTGAGCCACAGCATGAAGCAGGCATGGTGCGTGTATGTGGGTCTCTCCCGGAAGGTGTCTCCAGAGTCAGGGCCATGGTCAGGAAAAGTTCAAGTTCGACACTAAAATCGTACAGAGCTAACAGAGACTGCAACCATTTAGTCTATGCTGGATGGAGTTAGCTCACGTATGCTAGGCTAGCTCAGATAGAATAGACTAGAAGAGGCCAGGTCAGACTGATCCAGGTTAGCCCAGATTATACAAGGCTAGCCCAGAAGGAAGACTGGACTAGAGGTGGTCAGGCCAGGCTGGTTGAGGACAGCCTACATTAGCCCATCTGCTCGGGCCGGACTGGCCCAGGTTAGACCACCATGAACAAGGCTAGTCCATCTGCTCAGGCCGGACTGGCCCAGGCTAGACCGCCATGAACGAGGATAGCCCATCTGCTCAGGCCAGACTAGCCCAGGTTAGACCACCATGAACGAGGCTAGCCCATCTGCCCAGGCCGGACTAGCCCAGGCTAGACCACCATGAACGAGGCTAGCCCATCTGCTCAGGCCGGACTGGCCCAGGTTAGACCACCATGAACGAGGCTAGCCCATCTGCCCAGGCCAGACTGGCCCAGGCTAGACCACCATGAACGAGGCTAGCCCATCTGCTCAGGCCGGACTGGCCCAGGTTAGACCACCATGAACGAGGCTAGCCCATCTGCTCAGGCCAGACTGGCCCAGGTTAGACCACCATGAACAAGGCTAGCCCATCTGCCCAGGCCAGACTAGCCCAGGCTAGACCACCATGAACGAGGCTAGCCCATCTGCTCAGGCCAGACTGGCCCAGGTTAGACCACCATGAACAAGGCTAGCCCATCTGCTCAGGCCAGACTGGCCCGGGTTAGACCACCATGAACAAGGCTAGCCCATCTGCTCAGGCCAGACTGGCCCAGGTTAGACCCCCATGAACAAGGCTAGCCCATCTGCTCAGGCCAGACTGGCCCAGGTTAGACCACCATGAACAAGGCTAGCCCATCTGCTCAGGCCAGACTGGCCCAGGCTAGACCACCATGAACAAGGCTAGCCCATCTGCTCAGGCTGGACTGGACCAGGTCAGACCCCCATGAACAAGGCTAGCCCATCTGCTCAGGCCAGACTAGCCCAGGCTAGACCACCATGAACGAGGCTAGCCCATCTGCTCGAGCCGGATTGGCCCAGGTTAGACCACCATGAACAAGGGTAGCCCAAGAGGATGAATGGACCAGAGGGGATCAGGGCAGACTGGCCCAGGTCTGTCAAGTTGTACAAAGTCACCTGCATGTGTGACAACACTAGGGGGTTCAGGCCAGACCAGCCCTTGATCACCACCAGGTGAGTGAGGAGTTCCACATTTGTATGCTCTGAGGTACAGCAAGCCCCCACATCCATGGCCATTTTGTAGGATTCCCGAGGAAGCTTGTGGGCCCCAGAGAGAAGGCCCTGAGCAGGACGTCCAGAACGATCATAGTGATGATGATGATGGTATATGAAGCTGTGTTAAGTCCACCCTCACTGCAACTGCAGCTTGTGTTCCCATTTTACAGACGGGGAGACGGAAGCCCAGAGCCACCTCCCTGGCCCCAGGGCTGGGAGGCGAGGCTGGACACTCACCGACGCAGTGGTCACTCTGCACCTGGAAGCCGGGGGGGCAGATGCAGCGGAAGGATCCCTCGAGGTTCTGGCAGGTGCCTGGCAGGCAGGTTCCCGCAAGGCTGAGACATTCGTTGGTGTCTGTGGAGAGGAAGAAGAGGGGACCCAGTGCCAGCCCGGAGGCGGGAGGCTTACCTGGGATTGGGACCAACACCTGCAGTCACTGCGTGATGGCCGAGGGCCCTAGGAGGAGCTCTCTCCATGGCAATCCTGGCTCCAGGGGAGGGGCTGAGACTCAGGGCAGCAAGGATGGCGGGGGAAGGATTATCTGGCCCTGGTGGGGGTTTAGGTAGAGCCAGATGCTATTCAAGAGGAAAGAGGGAGCAAGATTCCTAATCTGGTGCTATATGCAGATTCCTCTTCTGGTTTCTGAGGTCTCCATTCAGCCCCTCTACTATTCCCTACTTTGGAAAACATATTCAAGACAGCATCCCCTTAAGCCATGAATCCCATGACAATGAGGAAGTGATGTGCTGGTTTTGTTTTAATAACTTAACATAAATGCGCGGGTATTAAATGGAACCATGCTCACTTAGTAGTAACAATTGCATGTACCCATGCAGCAGGGACACACAAGACTAGCACCACAAGACTCACCTGCACAGTTCTTTCCATCGGCTGTGAGCTCGAAGCCATCCTGGCAGAGGCAGTGGAAGAAGCCAGCTGTGTTGACACACTGGCCAAATCGGCACACTTGCCCCGCCAGGGTAGTACACTCATCAATGTCTGCAGAGGGGAGATGGCAGGTGGGGTCACCCACAAAGCTTGAGTGGACTGAGCCTCCCTTGCACTTCTGTTGAGTTGATGGCACTGGCTTCAATTTATTGAGCACTCATGTACCAGACTCTGTATATTAACCTTCTAACTTCCAACTATTCTATGATGTTTGTACTGATATTGTCTGATATAACCATTTAATGCTATGAATTTACCTCTAAGTGTTCTCTTAGCTGCACCCCACACATTTTGATATGTGTGCTTTCATTTTAGTTTACTTTAAAATATTTTCTAATTTCCCTTTATAATTTTGTCTCTGATCTATGGGTTATTTAAGAGTATGTTAATTCCTAAATATTTGGGAACTTTCTGGGCATCTTTCTGTGGTTGATTTCTAGATTCATTCCCTTACATTCTGAGAACCTACTCCGTGTGACTTCAATACTTTTAAATTTGTTAAGGTTTGTTATATGGCCTAGAATATGATCCTCCTTGGCAAATGTCCCTGTGCACTTGAGAAGAATGTGTGCTCCAGAACTTTCTATAAGTGACAAGCCAAGGCAGTTGATAGTATTGTTCAAGTCTTCCACATCTTTACTGATTTACTATCTACTTGTTCTCCTTATTACTGAAGGAGGTATGTTGAAGTCACCAACTATAATTGTGGATTCATCTATTTCTTTTTTCAGTTCTATTGATTCTGACTTCATATGTTTTGAAGCTCTGTTGCTAGATGCATATGCATTTTTTTTTTTTTTTGAGACAGGGTCTCCCACTGTCACCTGGACTAGAGTGCAGTGGCATCATCACAGCTCACAGCAACCTCCAACTCCTGGGCTCAAGTGATCCTCCTGCCTCAGCCTCCCGAGCAGCTGGGACTATAGGCACATGGCACCACGCCCAGCTAATTTTTCTGTTTTGTATGTAGATGGGATCTCGCTCTTGCTCAGGCTGCGTATGCATTTTGATTATGTCTCCTCTAAGAACAATTGACCCCTTGTTCAATATTTAACATCTCCCTCTATCTCTATTCCTTAACGAGAAGTCTATTTGGTCTGATACTTGGTCTGGTAGGTTACTCCTATTAATCTCCCTTTTACAGATGAGAAAACTGAGGCACAGAGAGGTAAATGACTTGTCTAGAGTCACACAGCTGGTAGGTGGCAAAGCTGGGATTTGAACTCACACCGTCTGGCCTGGGAGTCCGTGCCGTTTGGACAGTGCACTAAACTGGCTAGTGCCACACCACCCAGGTCTCGCTCTCACCTCCCTTTCTGTCCCGTCCACCTGCCTCCCATCAACTTCAGCCTCAGCTCTGGCAAGAGCCCCCCAAAGTCCCCTGACTGGCACCTGGTCACTGAAGGAGCGTGGAGAACTGTAGTCGACTCATTTTCAGAGAAAACCCCAACCTTTGAGATTATCTTCCAAAGGGCTCCCTGGGTCGAGATCCCTTATTTCTGGGGGTGCCCTCAGGCTGCAGACCCACTTTTCAGTGGGGAACGCTGAGGCCTGCCCGGCCACCCCAGCCGGCTCACCCACGCAGCCCCCGCCGTGTGCTGCCGCAAAGCCCGGGAAGCAGAGGCAGCGGTAGGAGCCGGCCGTGTTCTTGCAGGTCCCGTTTCCGCATGGTTTCTGGTCGCATTCGTTGACATCTGCCAGGACACAGCCCGAGAGCCGGGCTCACGTCACCCACCCGGGGCGTTGGGGTGGGGGGCGACTCGCCTTCCCTGCACCCAGCCCCGCCCACGTGGCTGTGTAGCGACCCCTGCGGGTGAGGGCTGGGAAGTAACCTGGTACTGCTTATACCGCACCCATTTTACAGATGGGGAAACTGAGGCACGGGGGCAGATAAGCCATTTACCCAAAACATTAGTGTCGGGACTCAAACCTGGGGTCTGTCTGTGAACCAGTGTGGATGCGGGCACCATTCCCAACTCCACTCCCCCAGGGCAGGTGCAGGTCCCGGGCAGCCTGGCCTGGGAGGAGGGGCTCGCACCTGTGCACAGCGTCTGGTCCGCTGAGGCCCGGAAGCCACGGTGACACAGGCACCTGTAGCTGCCCTCCGTGTCCACGCAGTCGCCGTGGCTACAGACATTTGGGATCTCCTGACACTCGTTCCGTTCTGGGGGCGGAGGGAGGCAGGGTGGTGTTTCCCACCCCACAGGGTTTGCTTGAGTCCTCCCACGCTGCCACCACGACTGGCTAGCTTTTAAAATTTTTTGTACAGACGGGGGTCTTGCTATGTTGCCCAGGTGGGTCTCGAACTCCCGACCTCAAGTAATCCTCCTGCCTCGGCCTCCCAAAATGCTGGGATTACAGGCGTGAGCTGCCGAGGCCTGCCCATAACTGTCCTGTTAACAGGTGGTCTCTGTGCACCGCCCCCCCCCCAGCCTCTACGAGTCCAGACCAGAGAAGGACCCCAGGGAGGCAGAGCCACGCCCTAGCCTGGTCACAGCGGGTGACAGAGCCCGGCTTCTTCTCCTCCCTGCTCCCCGCCCTGCCAGGGCCTCCCCTGCCGCCTCCCCGGGGCCCTGCTCACCCACGCAGGCCCCGCCTGGCGACAGCGTGTAGCCACGGGTGCACTCGCAGCGGAAGCTGCCGGGGACGTTGATGCAGTCGGCGTTCCGCCCGCAGGGGCTGCCCCTGCGGCCGCACTCATCCAGATCTGCGCAAACACAGCCGGCGAGGCGGGGCTGAAGGCGCAGCCCCCCCCCCACAGCGGACCCCTGCTTTGCACCAGGTGGTCTCTCTGGAAGCAGCCAGAACTGGAGCGAAGGTGCTTGGGTGAGACGGAGGCCCTTCAGAAAGGCGACAGACCCATTACACAGATGGGGAAACCGAGGCTCGCAGAGTTTAAATGACTCACCTAGATCACACAGTGTGTGTGTGTGTGGGGGGGGCAGCATCCCACCCAGACCCGGGGGCTGGGTATGGGGGGGGGAGGTGGCACCTTCGCAGGCCAGCAGGGCGCCGTTGTAGTCAAAGCCCGCGGGGCACTGGCAGCGGAAGCTCCCGACCTGGTTGACGCAGACGCCGCGGGCACAGACGGCGGGAATCTCTGCGCACTCGTCGATGTCTGGGGACCGCATAAGCCATCAGGGGCAGCCCAGAACCCCCTCCCCAGGGCGGGGGGGGACTTCTGGGGACCCTGAGCTGAGGGACCCATCCACACTGCAGTCTGGGAGATGATGCTGCGGCCACACACTCAAAAAATCCTGCCGTATGAGACAGGATCTAGCAAGAAACTGGCAACATCGATGGATGAAGGCACAGCAGAACAGGTGGCGTCTACGCCGAGGTGTGTTCTTCGGAAATAAAATAAAGGCCCCCGCGCGCGCTACAACACAAATGAACCCCGAATATGTTCCACTACGTGGAAAAAACCGGACACACACAAAAAACAAATATTGCAAACGAGCACCACATGTACTCACCAGCAAACTGGTATTAACTGAGCAGCACCTAAGTGGTCACATAGGAACTACAGTAATAGGGTATTGGGCAGGGGGGAGGGGAGGGGGGCCGGGGTGGGTATATACATGCATAATCAGTGAGATGTGCACCATCTGGGGGATGGTCATGCTGGAGACTCAGACTTGTGGGAGAAGGGGGGGAAAGGGCATTTATTGAAACCTTAAAATCTGTACCCCCATAATATGCCGAAATAAAAAAAAAAAAAACACAACAAATATTGGCCGGGCATAGTGGCTCATGCCTGTAATCCCAGCACTCTGGGAGGCCAAGGCGGGAGGATCGCTTGAGGTCAGGAGTTTGAAACAAGCCTGAGCAAGAGCAAGACCACGTCTCTACTAAAAAAATAGAAAGAAAGTAATTGGCCAACTAAAAAATACATATAGAAAAAATTAGCCGGGCATGGTGGCGCATGCCTGTAGTCCCAGCTACTGGGGAGGCTGAGGCAGGAGGATTGCTTGAGCCCAGGAGTTTGAGGTTGCTGTGAGCTAGGCTGACGCCACGGCACTCTAGCCCGGGCAACAGAGTGAGACTCTGTCTGAAAAAAAGAAAAGAAAAAGAAGGTACAACAATTATGCACATATATGCACCTAAGAACAGAGCCCCAAAATACATGATGCAAAAACTAATAAAAAGGAAGGGGAAAAGACAGCTCTGCAATAATAGTTGAAAAATTCAATACCCCACTTTCAATAATGGATAGAATAACTAAAGATCAACAAGAAAACAGAGGACTTCAACAACACTATGAGCCAACCAGACCTTACAGACATCTATAGAACATGCAACCCAGCAACACATTTTCTCGAGTGCCCATGGAAAATTCTCCAGAGTAGACCATATATTAGGCCACAAAACAAGTCTCGATACATTTTAAAACGTTAAAAAATCATACAAAGTATCTTCTCTAACCACAATGGAATAAAACTGAAAGTCAATAACAGGAAGAGAACTGGAAAAGCATGTGGAAATTAAACAACACATTTTGACCAATTGGTCAAGGAAGAAATTACACAGGAAATTGAAAAATACTTTGAGATGAATGAAAACAGCAACACAACATACCAAAGCTATGGGGTGCAGTCAAAGCAGTACTCAGAGGGCAATGTATAGCTGTAAATGCTTCCATTAAAAAAGAAGAAAGATCCAAGACAATAACCCAACTTTATACTTTTTACATTTTTTAGGAAAAGAAGAGTTACTAAACCCAAACAAAGTTCCAAGGGTTAGAGGAGACAGAAAAGGATGAGATATTATTCAAGCATTTTGATTTTTTTTTCCTTTTAGTAGAGACAGGGTCTCACTCTTTCCTCAGGCTGGTCTTGAACTCCTGACCTCAAGTAATCCTCCCTCTTCAGCCTCCCAGAGTGCGAGGATTACAGGCTTGAGCCACCGCACCTGGCCAAGAAAACTGATATTCAGATCTTAGATCTCTCTCTCTTCCTTCACCATTTCCTTGATTTTCTAAACAAATCGCTCAGGGTAAAAGAAATGTTGTCCTTGCTCTGATTTCAGTGTCTGGCTGTGTGTGTGGGTGCTCAGTTAATACTGGCTGAAATTGAGGACAAAGGATGGACAAATGGACGGACGAATTAATGAATGAGTGCAGGAATGAATAAATAAACTTGGTATATCGCATTAAAGGAGCTCAGACTCAAGGATCAGCATGGCCGGCCTGAGAGCCTCGTCTATACCACTTGCCAGCTGGTGCTTCTGGATGAGTCACTTCATTTCATTGAGCCTTAGTTTCCACATCTGAAAAATGGGACCATGATAGGAACACATCCCTCATGGGGCAGCCACTGTGGTGACTGGAGGAATGACGAAGAGGAGGCTCAGCACGGTGGTGGCACACAGTCCCAGACACCGTTAGCCGTTGGTCACCACTATTATATTCAAACAAGACCAGCAGGGAGACGGGGGAAGTGGAGCTTGAAGGGAAGGAGGGGCTGTTTCTTCTCTTGTCTTTTCCTTGTCACTCTTCGCTCTGGGACTTGGTCAGCTTTTGCTCATGAAAGAAAGGGCATGGTTGCAAAGCCAGGTCACTTCTAACTGGGTGGGGGGCAGAGGTCAGAGGTCAGAGGTCAGACAATGGGGAGGAGAGAGACGCTCCCAGTCTGGGTGGAGTGCACGCTCACCCTCGCAGATGCGGGTGTCCTCACGGAGGTGGTGGCCAGCTGGGCACTCGCACTGGAAGCTGCCGAAGGTGTTGACGCAGTCGCCCCCCTGGCACAGCCCTGGCAGCTCCTGGCACTCGTCAATGTCTGTCAGGAAGTGAGGAAGCCACGCCTGGAAGCTAAATCCTTGCAGGGGACTTGGGGGACACCTACACCCTGCCCTGGGCTCTCCGGGGCTCCCTCTAGGATCCCCAAAAACTATCCCATGGCTGTTGGACATTCGGAGGGTCTGTCTTGAAGGAGCTGGATCCAGACTCTCTTGAGTTAATGTTATCCTAAGTTCAGCTCTTTTCCTTTCATCTGTTAGTTCATCTTTCCATCCACCCTGTAGTTTCCTCTGGATGGAATGTCTTCTCCAACCTCCATCACTCCCTATGGGTACAGTGACTGGGAGGATGGATAGATGGGTGGATGGATGGATGGGTAGGTGGGTGGATGGGTGGATGGATGGGTGGGTGGGTGGATAGATGACTGGATGGATGGATGGATGGGTAGGTGGGTGGATGGATAGGTGGGTGGATGCATGGATGGATGGGTGGATGGATGGATGGGTGGGTGGATGGGTGGGTGGATGGATGGGTGGGTGGATGGATGGATGGGTGGATGGATGGGTAGGTGTGTGGATGGATAGGTAGGTGGATGTGTAATGGATAGATGATTGAATGAATGGATGGGTAAGTGGATGGGTAGATGGATGGGTAGGGTAGGTGGGTGGATGGTTAGGTGGGTGGATGGGTAGGTGGTGGATGGGTAGGTGGGTGGATAGATGATTGGATGGATGGATGGGTAGGTGGGTGGATGGATGTGTGGGTAGATGCATTGATGGATGGGTGGATGGGTGGATGGATGGGTAGGTGGGTGGGTAGGTGGGTGGATGGATGGGTGGGTGGATGGGTGGATGGATGGGTAGGTGGGTGGATAGACGATTGGATGGATGGATGGGTAGGTGGGTGGATGGATGGATGGGTGGATGCATTGATGGATGGGTGGATGGATGGGTGGGTGGATGCATTGATGGATGGGTGGGTGGGTGGATAGATGATTGGATAGATGGATGAGTAGGTGGGTGGATGGATGGATGGATGGATGGGTAGGTGGGTGGTTGGATGGGTGGGTGGATGGATGGGTGGATGGGTGAGTGGATGGGTGGGCAGATAGATGGATGGATGGGTGGATGGGTGGATGGGTGGATGGATGGGTAGGTTCGTGGATAGATGGAGGGATGGGTGGATGAATGGATGGATCGGTGGGTGGATAGATGAATATTAAAAGTAGTGGATGGAGGAATAATAAAGTGGATCAATGAATGAGAAGATGAATTAGTGGATAGATGGGTGAGTAGATGGATGGATGGATGGATGGGTAGAAGAGTGAAGGGATGGGTGGTGCATGGGCGAATGAGTGGATGGATGGATGGATGGGTATTTGATGGATGTACGGGTATCTTGATGGATGGACAGGTATCTGGATGGATGGGTGGGTGGATGGATGGGTGGGTAGATGGATGGGTGAGTAGGAATACATGGATGGATGGGCAGATGGGTGAATGTGTTGATGGGGGATGGGGTGTATGGGGAGAAGGAGGGATGGGTAGAGGGAGGAAGGTTGGATGGATGGGTGGATAAACAGATACGTGCATGGGTGAATGGGGCAGAGACGAATGGATGGATCCAAGGAGGGATCAATAAACCAACAAGTGGAAGAAATGGATGGAAGAATAGATAAAAAAAAATTCAACACAAACTAACAGCACAGTTTGGTCCTGCTGCCCAGTCTGCAGGCGGGAGGGTGCGCCCCCTCCCCACCAAGAGCTGCTGGACTGTGCACCGCAGCGAGGCGCGGATGGGAGAAACGTCAGCCCCTAGGCGGGAGGAGGGATGGACGGTTCATCAGACACTCACCTTCCAGAATGACAGTGACGGGGTTGGGCCGGAAACCCTCGCCGCCCGGACACAGGGTTCTGTACTCGGCTGCAGGGAGAAACAGGCCCCGGTGAGGGGCTCTGGGGCAGGAACCCTGGGCAAAGCTTAGGGGGAGTGGAGGAGGGGACGTCCCCTGGAAAGGGCTCCAGGGTGGGCCCCATCCCTCACTGTACCACGTTCAACATGTGAGCAGAAGGGTCGTGGCTTGGGGTGTGGGGAGGGCGGAGGATGATTCCTTCCGACCGGAACCGGACCCTAGTGTGACTGCAAGTTTCCCCCCGTGAAAAGAAGACCCTGGACGTTCGCACGTGCACACACCTGACTAGGTGGACACGCACCTCCCTGTTTCACACCTGAGGCCTTTGCACATACTGTTCCCCCGGCATTGCACACCCTTCCCCCATCCTCTGCCGGGAAAACTCCTACTCATGCTTCAAAACCTCACTCAAGCCTCCTCCCCTGGGAAGCCTTGTCTTATCCCCTTCTTCCCCACAGCTTCCTTCGCAGCCATGGCTACGCCTCAGACAAACCCTTAGGATAGATCTGCTCTCACAGCCCTAAAACTGCTGGTTCGGGGGTGAGGCACAGAGTGCTCGGTGTCTGTGGCTCATCCTTCTCTGCGTCCCCAGCCCCTGGCACACTGCACAGAGGAGCTCTCCATGTTTGTTGACTGACTAAGTGATCGACTGACTATAAACAGAGAAGAATTTGCAGAAAGCAGCCTTGGAGAACGGCCAGGGAGCATGCAAGCCCCTCTCCCTCCCTGGGGCTCTGTTTCCCTGCCGCCTAAGGTCCTCCCTTCGCAGAGATGACGGACGGACGCCCCAAGCGCCGGGGTCTCCGCGTGGCTCGGGTCCCCACGCGCGCGTCTCCCGCGCAGGGACTCACTGGTGTTGCCCACCGGGCACGGCTCGCAGGGGTTGCCCCAGGCGCGGCCCAGGGAGCAGCAGCAGGAGGCTCGGGTGACGCCAGCTCCGACCTCGGCGCTGCAGAACGTGCCGCCGTCCCCGCGCGGGTGCGCGTCCAGGAAGCAGTTTCCAAGCCGGGTGTCTGCACGGGGCGGGAAGGGACGGCTGGCAAAGCCGGGGATGCGAAACCCCGGCTGCGCATGCGCGTGAGCGAGCGCCAGGCCGCGTCCCGACAGGTGGCCGAGGACCCGCACGCGTCCCATTCGCCAGGAGCGGGTGGGTCGGAGCAGGGCGACAGCTGAGATGACCCGGACCACAGCCCGCACCGTCTCGGCTGAGCCCAGAGCCCCCCGGCCGGCCAGAGCCGCGCGCGGACTCACCCACGCAGCCCACCCCGCTGGGGTTCAGCTGGAAATCCGGGGGGCAGCTGCAGACGTAGCTGCCGGGCACGTTGACACACAGGCCGTGGATGCAGCTCACGGGGTCCGCGCACTCGTTGACGTCTGCGGGGAGGACGCGCCGTCCAGCCGGGAGCACTCCCTCCGCCCCCCTCCTCCTGGGCAGCCACGGACCTCACCCCGGGGCCACCCCCGGGCACCGGACTGTGGGGCAACGAGGTGGTGCCCTTCCCTGGGAAGAAACCTCAGAGGACGGGAGCCTCCAGTCTGCTCCGTCCCGTTGACCCCCATCCTCCCCACCCCCCAGCTCTGTCCTACTTGGCGCAGTTTTGCTCCTTTAAAACGCTATCTGAGGCCCGGCGCGGCGGCTCACGCCTGTCATCCCAGCACTCTGGGAGGCCGAGGCGGGAGGATCGCTCGAGGTCAGGAGTTGGAGACCAGCCTGAGCAAGAGCGAGACCCCGTCTCTACTAAAAAAATAGAAAGAAATTAATCGGCCAACTAAAAATAGATAGAAAAAATTAGCCGGGCATGGTGGCGCATGCCTGCAGTCTCAGCTACTCGGGAGGCTGAGGCAGGAGGATCGTTTGAGCCCAGGAGTTTGAGGTTGCTGTGAGCTAGGCTGATGCCACGGCACTCACTCTAGCCTGGGCAACAAAGCGAGACTCTGTCTCCAAAAACAAACAAACAAAAAGAAACGCTATCTGACGTGACTTCCCTTATTTATTTTTTCATTTATTTATTTAAGAGACACGGTCTCTCTCTGTTGCCCAGGCTGGAGTGCCGTGGTGCAATCATATCTCACTGCAGCCTCGAACTCCTGGGCTCAAGCGATCCTCCTGCCTCAGCCTCCTGAATAGCTAGCCCTATAGGCACACACCACCACCATATCTGGCTAATTTTTAATTTTTTAATTTTTCTTTTTTATAGATGGGGTCTTGCAATGTTGCCCAAGCTGGTTTCAAACTCCTAGGCTCCAGTGACCCTCTCGCCTCGGCCTCCCAAAGTGCTGGGATTTACAGGTGTGAGCCACCACGTCCGGCCTCGAAGCCCATATTTAGAAAACACTTTCAAACCAGGGGTTGGCAAACTCCAACCTGTGGGCCAAATCCGGCCCACTGGCAGTTTGTGTCAATAAAGTTTTATTGGCACACAGGGCCACGCTTACTCATTTACAAATCGTCTCTGGCTGCTTTGGAGCTACAATGGCAGAGTCCAGTCATTGTGTGGCATGCAAAGCCGAAAACATTTACCATCTGCCTGTTTTAAAGTGCACACACACAAGCAGGAGAGGCGTTCCTTAGCTGGGGTGCAAGGGGCACTTCATTCGTTCACTGCATTTATTCAATAAGGGAATAGGTATAGGGAGAGCTGGGGGTATTTCAGATGGAAGGTCAGGCAAGGCCCCCACAGGAGGGCGTTTGAGAAGAAATCTGAGGACAGCAGGGAGCGAGCTCTGTCCCCCCACCCCCATGCTGGCGGCCCCCACACCTGTGCAGTTGCCGCCGCCTCGGTCCAGCTCGTAGCCCCCGTCACAGACGCAGCGGAACATCCCGGGCAGGTTCTCGCAGCTCCCGAAGGCGCAGAGGTTCCCGAGAGCACACTCGTCCACGTCTGTGGGGACGCCAGGTCAGCCCGCGCCACCCCACAGTCTGCCACGGGGGCCTCCGCCCTGGCCTCTGCCCTGCAGGCCCGGGCCTCACCCCTGCAGGCCCGGCGGTCCTCGGTGGGGTGGAAGCCCACGTGGCACTCGCAGCGGTACCCGCCCGGCGCGTTCAGGCACTGCCCGTTGTCGCAGAGGCCCGCGTCCTCGGCACATTCGTCTCTGTCTGGGGGGGCCCCGAGAGGCGGAGGGTGGAGGGCCGGCCGGGCCGGGACCCGCACCGGGCGGGCGGGTAGGGGGGAGACTCCCGGGTCGCTCAAACCCTTCACCGTCACACGGTCGCGGGCAAGTGGCACTGGGACTCAGATCTTTCACTGGGGAGCCGGAGGCCGACGACCGACCGAGTTGGGGCCAGGGAGGGGCGGGGGCTTCTGGACACTCCGACTCTGGCCAGGAGGGGCAAGGAGGGGACACGGCCACTCGGGAGTGGAGGGAGTGAGAGAGAGGCTGCTGCGGTCTCCAGCGCCCACGGTGGGGTGGCAGGTCAGAGTGAGGTTGACTGACCGCCTCGGCCACCATGCGTCTGGCGCCCCTGGCTGCCCCTCTGGGACCCCAATCTCACCTCGGCAGGAGAAGCCATCCCCGGAGAAGCCCTGGTGGCAGGCGCAGCGGTAGGAGCTGGGGACGTTGAGGCAGGCGGCGCTCGGGCTGCACCGGTGCTCCCGGGTGGCGCACTCGTCCAGGTCTGCAGGGGACGGAGCCAGAGCCCCCCGGGTGTGCACCGGGGGACCGCAGGGGTGCAGACCCCCAACCCCAGCCCCGGATGGCCCCCGCAGCCGCCCTCAGCGCCACCACCCTGAGCCTTGCGTCCAGGTACTCACCGTGACATTCGATGCCGTCCCCCATCCAGCCTGGCTGGCACCTGCAGCGGAAACTCCCGGGAATGTTGAAGCAGGAGGCGTGGCTGTCACAGGTGTGTCCCCCAAGCTCACACTCGTCCACGTCTGAGGGACCGCGGGGACCCGATCACCGAAGGGGAGAGTCAATGCAATGGCAGCTGAAAGAGCAAAGACCTTCCCTCCCTAGGGGAAGGGCTGGCCCAGAAAGCCCCTTCGCACCCACCCGGGGGGGGCTTCCGTCTCCTCCCAGAGCTCCAACCTAAACAGACGTGGCATTATAGCAGCCCTGCAGAAATGGTCTGAACTGGCAGCATGAGAGACTTAGGCTAGACATTCAGAGGGACCGTCCTAATGAACATGCCCTCTCTCCAAACCAAGACTTCCCTCTATGCTAGCATTTCCAATCCTGAGACAATTCTGCACCAGCCTTATAACCTCTGCAAGTCTCATACCCAGGTGGCTACTATTTCACTCAACATTTCTCTGTTGGACCCCCTCACTCTCTGTAACGTGAATGTGTTTTAAAAGAAAATTTTATATCAACGTCAACCACCTCTAAGAAGCCACGGTTTGGGCCGGGCGCGGTGGCTCACGCCTGTAATCCTAGCACTCTGGGAGGCCGAGGCGGGCGGATTGCTCAAGGTCAGGAGTTCAAAACCAGCCTCGAGGCCCCCACACTGACCCAGTGCAAACACACGCGTTCACCACGCACCTCCACACCCGCCGTGCACACGCCAGCTCCCCGACACTCGCACCCAGGTGAGACATCACGCGCTCACACACACACACACACCCCCGGTGCACAACGCCAGGCCCCCGCCACCTCGCCCCAGTGCAAACACAGGCTCACACACACACCTCACCACCCGCCCGTGCACACGCCGGCCCCGCACACTGACCCAGTGCGACACACGCGCGCTCACAACACCTCACACACCGCCCGTGCACACGCCAGGCCCCACACTCGCACCCAGTGCAAACACACACTCACACACACCTTCACACCGCCCGTTGCACACGCCAGGGGCCCGCCACACTCGCACCCAGTGAGCAGGCGCGAGCTCACACACGACCTCACACCCCCCGTGCACACGCCAGGCCCCACACCACTCGCACCCAGTGCAAGACACACGCGCTCACCCACACCCTCACACCCGCCCGTGCACACGCCAGGCCCCACAACTCGCACCCAGTGCAGACACACCCACTCACCACACCCTCACACCGCTCCCGTGCACACGCCAGGCCCACACCACCACTCCGCCCAGTGCAGACACACACTACCACACCCACCCTCACACCCGCCGGCACACGCCCAGGCCCCCAACATCGGCACCCAGTGCAGACACACGGCGCTCCACCACACCTCACACCGCCCGTGCAACACGCCAGCGCCCCCACACACTCGCACCCGTGCCGACACACGCGCTCACACACACACCTTTCACACCCGCCGTGCACACGCCAGGCCCCACACACTCGCACCCAGTGCAGACACACACGCGCTCACACACACCACCTCACACCCGCCCGTGCACACGCCAGGCCCCCCCACTCGCACCCCGAGTGCAGACACACGCGCGCTCACACACACACCGTCACACCGCCCCTTGAACACGCCAGGCCCCACATCAGCCCCAGTGCAGACACACGCGCTCACACACCACACCTCACACCCGCCCGTGCACACGCCAGGCCCCACACACTCGCACCCAGTGCAGAACACACTCACACACACACCTCACACCCGCCCGTGCACACGCCAGGCCCCGCACACTCGGCACCCAGGTGCCAGACACACGCACAAACACACCGCACACCCGCCCGTGCACACGCCAGGCCCCCACACTCGCACCCAGTGCAAACACACACTCACACACCACCTCACACACGCCCGTGCACACGCCAGGCCCCCCACACTCGCACCCATGCAGACACAGCGACTCGCACACCACACCTCACCACCGCCCGTCACACGCCAGGGCCCCCACACACTCGCACCCAGGCAGAGCACACGCGTCCACACACACCTCACACCCGCCCGTGCACACGCCAGGCCCCCACACACTGCAGCCCAGTGCAGACACACGCGCTCCACACACACACCTCACACCGCCCGTGCCACCCAGCTCTACACACTCGCACCAGTGCAACACACACGCTCACACACGCACCTACACCCGCCCGTGCACACGCCCATGGCCCCCACACCATCGACCAGTGCATACACGCGAGCCACCAACACCCT